GGGGGGGGTAATTAAGAGAAGAAAAAGGAAGTGACAAGTGATGTGATGAAAGTAGAAAAGAAATATCTAGATCAAGAAAGTGAGTTAATAGGAAACAAAAAGGAGAGAGAAGGATGTTAAGTGAGAAACTAGAGAAAGCTGAAAAAGAGACCGTTGTTGATTGAAAGTGGTATCAAAACCCCGCTCTATTTATAGGCTTTGAGCCAATACATAAAACATTAAAAAAAACTATATAATAACATTAAATATTGATATAGCAAATCGGAGCTTTACCATGGAGGCTTTTAGTTTTTACACGTAGAGATTTATCTGACGTGACTTGTGACAACTGTACATGATGCCAGATCACACGAAAATATATGGTTCTTGTAGTCCCCTCTTTCCTCTTTATATATGTGTCGGTTTAATAGAGTAGTGTTTTAATACTATTTGTTAATGTGACTATATTTTATATATACGGCTTTGTTGTTTATTAAATCATAGTGGTTGAGCTCTCAAAGAAAATTTTCAGCTCTCAATCTATGACTAATTATATTAAGTCCGAAAACTCCTTTGGGAATTATAACCAAATCAATCATTTCATTAAGATCTGAATAGGTTAAACATTAATTTCAGGATTTCCTAGAGTGGTTAAGTTTAATGACCTGACAATTGACAAAGATGTATCAAGTAACTGAAAAGATTGAACAAGATTTTGATGTAAAGCAGCTTAACTGGATAAAAGAGAAGCTCTTTGAAGATCTTCAGACCCTACCACTGGAGCCGTACGCATTTGACTGAGTGGTGCATGAGAGAAGAAGCCAATAACAAAGAACAGAATTTAACGTCTACTTTCAAGTTTTTTAACTCATATTTCCTTTTCATTCAACTGCTTAAGATAGTTATGTTCATGATAGAAGTGATTTGTGTAATGATTGATTGATTTGTAAAGTTATCTTTTCGGTTAAAGAGAAAGAAGGGACATTTTTCTTATAGCCAATGGTCACACAACTATATAAGATTAGAAATATCGCATATGAACAAACTATCATATATACATTGGATTTAACGCTCAATAATGAGACCATGCCCGTGGCTTTATATACTACTTATAGCCAATATATTTGAATCCCAACACATGACACATATCCTTGATAAATAGCACAACCATATAAACTCATCATTATTATCAAGAACCGATTTGATACCTCAATTATACATGATCTTTTAATTAATAATGAAGGAAAGAATATACTTGGAAGGTAATCTATGGTTGGATTCTTTCATAATGTGTAAATTAATAAACATTTAATGAGAAAAACATACTATAAATCAAGCTCTAAAACCAATATATGTTAATAATTAAATGCAAGAAAGATTGAGTGAATAATTGTCATTTACATTCAAGATTAATTACTTATGATTTGACTTAATTAAATGATTAGGTATTTTGGATATAAATAATGAGCATATGTTATTTCTGCTTTTTTATTATTACTCTCTCATTTTATATATCAATTGGATCTGTTTGTATAATATTGTCATCATATAAGTATATCAACTTGTATAATTTTTACAAGTAAATTTTGCCATATATATATATATATATATATATATAAATGTATATATATA